TCCATTCTTGCCCCATCTAGTCTGGAAACCTGAGTCACCTTCTCCCTGGCTTGGCCATCAAGGCTCAGCATCTTCCCTGGGACATTCATATCTTCTAGATGATTCCAATGGTCTGGCCTCCCAGCATCCTGAATTCAAAACCCTCCCTCCAACCGCTCAGCAATCTCCCAGGCCTTGCAGGATTGGCCTGGCATTCTCCAGGCCTCATCCTTCTCTCTGACCCGGCTGAAGCTCAGCCTCTCCCAGCTCCATTGTTATGCTTCTGCTTTCTCCTCCACCTGGCTTCTCTAGTCATGGAAATCCAACCCCTCTTTAAAAAACAAAGCCCTCTGGGGTTCTCCTAAAAGAAATCTAATCCCTGGGTCCTCTGTGCCTGTCAGCATTTTCTGGGAACCTCTGGACTTCAATCCGCCTGCTGGGTTGTGAGCTCCTCCCCTGCGCCGTGTGTTGACTGCTGACTTACACGGTGCACCCAGAGCTGGGCCATGGCCGTGGCCTGATGGGTGAATGGCTTCAGTAACTTCGCTGCAATACTCTGGAGTCCTTGATCTCCTCCTTAAAGGGTACTGAGGGTTTCCCTAGAAACTGCCACTTCAAAGCCACACAGAAAAAAAAAAATTAGAGCTAAATTAGGTAACATTGTTTACTTTTTTACCAAGATGCTTTGGTGTTCCTTCCTGCACCTGTGTGCAGCCTCTAGCCCGACCTTGACAGTTCCCTGTCAAGTGACTGCACATTTTATAGGCAGAGCCCTGAAGGTGTGTCCCAGAAAGCCAGGGGAATGGGGCTGACCTCCAGAGCGCTTCCCCAGCCTGGCAAAGAGGGGCATCGTCCTGACTGGATGCCCAGGCACCCCTTTCCCAACTGTCTGCCCAGAGGGGTGCTGTGCTTCCTCTCCTTGGAGGATGTGCTTTTTTTTTTCTAACTCACAGAAAGACTTTGGTTTGTCACTCTGCCTTGCAGAAAGTGACTTTTTTTTCTTTTTAATTTTTATTTTTTGCAGTGCAGGGGATTGAACCCAGGGCTAGGCAAGCGCTCCACCACTGAGCCACAGTACCAGCACTGGACCTTTTTTTTTTTTTTGCCCCTAAAATTTTAGCAAGGAGGTGCCCTGGGCTGCTCTCCTGAGTGGAAGTCCTGCGTATAACCCTGGGTGTTTGCATTTTCACAAAGACCCTTTGTGGCACGTTGGTCCTTGCCTCCTTCAAATGACCTTGAATAACACTGTCCTCTGCACTCTTTCTGGCCTCCACAGGAAGAGGCTGTGAATCTGGGGCCTGGGAGCCATTTTAGACCAAGGCAGGAAAAATAAACAGATGGGCGAATGGCTGCCCTTGGATTCTGGCTCTGGGCATTCACCCATTGCTGGTGGTCAGTAGATTAAGCATTTTAGGGCTTGGATTTGTAATTTGCCCACTGATTAAACAATAGGGCTTTGCAGAGTGACTCGCATGTGTCTCCCAGGCCTATTTTACAGAGGAGTTCACAACAAAGAAAGCTATGTGCTCAACCTACAACCAAACTCAGCCGGGGCTGCCCTGCGGGTGCTTATTTGTGCTGAATCATGGGCTTGACAGCTGCCCCGGAGCAAGGGAGAAAAGTCTCCTGAGGACCATGGATTTTCGCTGCTCCCTTTCCCTACTCCCTTACCTCTGATCCCAGTTCTCACCTGAGATGTCTCACAAACACTGAAAACCCCTGTCCCTTTCCCAGCCATTGCTTAGCAGTGGGGGGCGTGTGTCCTGATGTCTGGGCGGCTGTCAGGGAGGGGGCCTGACAGACAGTCCTCATTCACAAGGCCTTGGCCCGCCAGCTCCCTCACCGGCTTCATAGGGCCTGATGAAAAGAGCAGGCCTCCTGGCCGGGGAGGCCTGTCGGGGGCTGCTTCCCCAGTCAGCAAACTGGAGAAGCCGTTTTCAAAGCGAGGCCTTCGCCCTCCTTGGCCAGCTCCTCAAAGCCTGCCTCGCTCTGGCTGGGCCTGGGAGAGTCTGTAAAAGGCTTTTTGTTCCCACTGTTCAATGGGGACATCCCTAGGAGCCGCTCAGTGAGGCACAGTGGGAGCTGGAGGACACTTGAGGCAGGGCCACTTGGGTGGGCGACAGGAGGGAGCAGGGCCAGGTGGCCAGGGTGGAGCAGAACTCAAATAAGGGCAGTCACGGAAGGTGCTAGAAAACATGGAAACTGTTCATAGAAATAGTGTTTAAGAATTGAGAAGCACTACCCAATAATTATTTTAGAAGTTGGAGACTGTTTAATCTTTTTTTTTTTATTATTCATTTCTATTTTTTTTAGTTATACTACTGTGTTTGGTGTACAAATAACACCTCAGGTCTGTGGTGATGGGCCCCTAAGAACAGACAGAGAGAGAAATGTCCTTGGAATGTAGTGACCTCAAGACACAGTTTTCTGTAAAAATGCATTCGCGGACCCTAACTGATAGCCTCTCACAGAAATGTGAGTTTGAAATAAAGGCCACCCGAGCCTCCTGAGAGCACAAGGAGTGCCAAAGTCCAGCTCAGGAATTGTCCTCTGCCTTAGAACACAGGACACTGGCAAGACAAGGCAGGGCCAGAGGCCCAGCCCACTCCTCATCAGTGGTAAGCATTTTTAATTGAAATACTGAAAAAAAAAATTGTAGTTATAGATGAACAGAATGCCTTTATTTTATTTGTTTATTTTTATGTGGTGCTAAGGATCCAACCCAGGGCCTCACATAATAAGCAAGTGCTCTGCCACTGGGCTATGGCCCCAGCCCTAACGGAAATATTTTAAAACATGAGAGCGCTCTAATCTGATGATATCCAACTCTCAAGCTGTCATGACTTGGCCTACTTATTTATAAAATTTAATCATAAAGTATAAATTGAACTAACCTGAAGGATTGTACGCTTCCTATAAAGCATAAAGAACGAATTCCATTTTAACCTGCCGAAAGGTGAATTTGCAAAGTTATTCCACACATACAAGAATGTTGAAGGAAAAAAAAAAAATAGGAATGATTTCTGTCTTGAACAATGCTCCTCCCCCACCAACAAACCAAACTAAACAAAACAATGACAAAACACCCCTCGGGCACTGTGTTTAGACTCATTTGTACATTTGTACTGTTTTATGACCTTTTCCCCCTGCTGTTTATATGGATCTGGACATTATCTTTCAAACATGCCATTTGCAAGGAAGGTCTGAATTGGTTTGCTTTTGCCGTGCATTTACAAAGCGGGCTATGGAATTGGTTCACAGGCAAAGGGGCCCTGGAAAGACAATATCCCTTCCTTCCTGAGGCAGATATTTCAGGATTGGGGAAGCAGAATTTCCTGTGTTCTCACAAGGGGCTGAGAAAAAGAAACCCAGGGCAGTTTCAGAGAGAATTCAGCCTGGACCAGGCAGCAGGAGGGAGTTGTTTTTGTGTGCAGGCCCCATCCTACCATGCAAGGCCTGCCGCTGGCTTTAGACTGGGTGCACAGGAGGTGGCTGGCTCAGCTTGAGGCTGGAAGAGGTCTGTCGAAGTCTGAGCAGGTTTGCAGAAGGACTCCCTGGCAAGTTCAGCGCTTCCCTTCCTCCGCCCACCTGGTCGGCCCACATCCCGCTGGGCCAACCTTTGATCACAGGCAGGCTGGGTGGTGTCTCCCTTCTGTCCTCTTCTGCACTAAAGGAGCATCAGAAATCTCCATGCCCTGTGGGAATGTTTCTTTGGTTTACTTTACGTTTTCCCCTTTGTTTCTGTGTTTAACAAAAGGCGAAACAGAGAAGTTGGTAATTGCCTCAAGAGTATTTACCCCTCTGTGTTTTCCCTGCCCCCTTCTGCCCGACTGCAATAAATAGCAGTGATTTGAATATTTAATTCATTTGGAGGTGCTGTCTGACACCTGTGGCCTCTATCAGATTTTTATTTAAAAGAAGTTTCTCTAAAGAAGAAAACAAACAAACAAACAAACAAACCTTGCTATAAAGAAGGAAAAAGTCAGTGGCTTGGGCTGTAGCTCAGTGGTAGAACACTTGCCTAGCATGTGTGAGGCCCTGGGTTGGATCCCCAGCACCACATAAAACTAAATAAACAAAATAAAAGTATTGTGTCCATCTACAACTAAAAATATTTTTAAAAGAAAAAATTCAGTAGTATAATAATAAAAAAAGTATGTTGATAGAGAGGGGAGGTGTAGATGGAAAGGAAATGGGAGGAATTATAAGATGATGAATTTTCTTTGTTAGCTTGGAAATAGTAGATACTATTTTGATTTCTGAAGTTAAGAAATGGAAAGTTAAGCATCTCATATAAAGTTGAAAAGGTAACGACTATTAGAAATACACATCAGATTACATAGTAAAAGAAAACAAAGGGAACATAAATAAAGCTTTAAAAAAATCTAAGAGGCTAGAATTGTGACAAATGAATTATAAAATAAACGTAAATGAGATCAACTCAGAATCAGTTTAAAGAAAACAACTATGTACTGTTTTAAGAAATATACCTAAAATGAAGTGACTCAGAATCAGAGATAGTGCTTAAGCTCCCAGAAATATCTCTCTAATGGTGGAATTCCAGGCACTGTGGCATTTGGGAGGGGTAGATATTTTTGGACTAAGCTTCCCCAGTCTCTAAAATCAGACCATGTGGTTGCCAGCTCATAAGACCAGCCCTGTGAGCCTCAGTGTTTGTTCTAGATTGCTGAGCTTCCAAAGGGCAGGGGCTGTGCATGCTTTGTTTAATTCCAGGCATTGCAGAGAAGTATTATGTGAGGACATACTTTCTGGTGTTGAAGGGACAGAGAAGGGGGTGGTAAGGAGTACTTACTCTCCAGTCTAGAAAGTAGAGTCTCTCTGGTGGAGAAGCCTCTAAGGAAGTTATGGTAACTATTTTGGGTCTTGAGTGTGCTATTTGATATCCCTAAGCATTTGTGTTTTACACGTCAGGGCTTGATTTATCAGGATTTCCCTATGTGTCATGACTTCTGAGAGGTGGAGCCAGACAGCCCTGGGTTAGCTCTTCCGCTTACTGGCTGCCTGGCCTTGGGAAAGTCACATCTACTCTCTGACCCTCCGTTACCTCATCTGCTCAGCATTCACTCATTCGTTCCTTGAGGTCAGTTATTTGTTGTTGTAAGCTCACTACCTGGCAGTCTCTCTTCCTGGATGCTGGGGATATAACGTTTCTGCTTTGTGTTCTAGGTGGATGCAGCTACTCGGAGGCTGAAACAGGAGGATTGTACATTTGAGGCCAATCCTCAAATTGAAGCAATTTAGCAAGACCCCTGGCTAACAACAACAACAAAAAAGTTTGTGCTGGGGCTGTATCTCAGTGGTGGAGCACTTGATTGGCATCTCAAAGCCCTGGGTCCAATTCCTAGCACCAGACACATGTGCATGAGTGTGCGCGCGTGTGTGTACACACACACATACACACACAGAGTGTATATTCTAATGGACTAGGATAGAAAATAAATAACAACAATCAACAAATAAATTTATAACATATTAGGTGGGATAAATGATGGAAAAATGGCCAACAGAATGCAGAACAGATAATGATGGCAGAGAGAGAGATGGGGAATGCTGGGGTGGGGGTGGGTGGGGGCTTATGTATGCACATGTGTGAGTGCCTGCTCTTTTCTGACCAGGCCAGGTGGTCAGGAAAGTCTCTCTGAATAAACTGCATGAGCTATGTGGAGGCCCAGAAAAAGTCTTCCCTGCACAGGGGATTCCAAGGGCAAAGACTCTGAAGTAGCAGAGGGGAGGCTGGTGTGTGAGGGACAGGGCCAGCAGGAGGATCCGAGGGCTGAGAGCTATATGTGAGCCACCTAGAATATTCTAGGCCATGCTTTGAAACCATTGGAGGGTTTTGAGCAGAACAGCAATGCCTTTTGCCTTGTATTTAAAAAGTTTTTCTCTGTCTTCTGAGTTGAGAATAGACTGAATCTGCAGAGGAGCGGCAGGAAGACTGTTGAGCAGAGATGAGGAAGTGTCGGAGTCGAAGAGCATAGCCGTGGAGTGGTGAGAGGTGGCGGACTGAGGGTCTGTTTTAAAGACAGGATTGACCAGATTTCTGATGGGTTGGGTGTAGGGTGAGAAAACAAAAGAGAGAGGGGAAAATGGAAAGTCATGGGAGACACCTCTTTGTTTGTTCTGAGCAACTTCAAGAATGGAGCAGCCGATAGTGAGAAGGGAGGAAGCAGATGGAGAGTCAGGAAGTTCTGTTGTAGCCGTGTTAAGGGCATGAGAGGAGAGGCTGAGTTGGAAATTGGAAGTAAAAGACGGGGATTCAGAGAGCGAAGTCCGGGAAGAGATATGAATTTGAACATAGTATTTCAAACTTGGGGCCAGATGACATCATACATGGAGTGACTATAGCTAGAGCAGGCAGATACCCGAGGCTGCTCTCTGTAACATTTAATGGACAGGGAGAGGAGGGGGAGGAAGGAAAAGTGCAGCCAGTTGGGCGGGAGGAGAAAGATGAGCTGGTATCAGGTGAGCAAGTGAAGAAAGAGTTTAGGAAGAAGTGAAGGTGCAAGGGTGCTGGCGGTGGAATGAGGAACAGACTGCCAAAGAGCATAAGATTAAATGAAATAGTATTTATTTCGTTTTATTATTTTGTTATTTGGTGCTGAGGATCGAACCCAGTGCCTCACACATGCTAGGCAAGCGCTCTACCACTGAGCCACAACCCTAGCTTGAAATAACTTTTTAAAGCACGTAACACACAGAGCCAGTGCCCAGCAGCTGGCAGCTCTAACCAAGGTTTATCATGTTGGAGTTTGCCAGTTAGAAAGCTTCCTTTGGGTGAAGATGCCTGGGAGGAGTGGTTGTCCCTGATGGGGTGGGATGGGGGTGAGAAGATGAATATGCTTCATGGGGGTGGTGACAAAGGTCCTTTCCTTGACCAAACTTTAGTCAGGCTGATGAAGCTTCTCTGAGGCCCTTCTGTTAACTTCCTTGAACAATCCAGTTTTAGCAAATACTCCTGCTAAGTCAGTTTAACAATTAACAAGAACCCCAGTCCCTTGATGTCTTACCTTCTTCTATGTCTGTCTGTCTGTCTGTATGTATGTATGTACACACCAGGGATTAAGCCCAGGGGTGCTTAACTGGGTCATATCCCCAGTCCTTTTTATATTTGATTTTATTTTTAAAATGATTTAACCTTTATTTGTTTTTTTTTTTATGTGATGCTGAGAATTAAACCCAGTGCCTCACCTGTGCTAGGTAAGCACTCTACCACTGGCTTTAACCCCAGTCTCCTATATTTTATTTTAAAAATATTTTTATTTTAGTTGTTGATAGACCTTTATTTTATTCATTTTTTTATATGTAGTGCTGAGAATCGGACCCAGTGCCTCGCATATGCTAGGCAAGTGCTCTACCACTGAGCCATGACCCCAGCCCCCTATATTTTATTTTGAGACAGGGTCTCACTAAGTTGCCTAGGGTCTCGCCAAGTTGCTGAGGCTGGCTTTGAACTCTGGAGCTGCTGGGATTACAGGCATGCACCACTGGGCCTCTCTACCATCTTCAATTTACGATCATCCTTGGTATCATCTCTGTTTCTTCATCCCCCACCATCCCCCAGGTGAGGTCTGATCACTGTGGCCTATTTTCAGCAAGAATCTTGTTGGGTCAGTTTAGCCAGAATTGCCTTTACCCCTGATGTCTTCTCATAGTAATTTTCCATCCACTGCCCCCTGCCCTGCTCCTGGCTCTAGGCTCCCCCTGGCTGTGTTCTTAGTTGAGCCCCACTGCTAGATCCTGGCTCTCTGCTCCGTTAGCTTGGCTCTGGTTTTAATTGTTTGCCTTTCCTGGGATTTAGGCAGGTAGTGGTTTCACCTGTTGTTGGAGCTCAGCTATCTGGAAGGAACAGGACCCCACTGACTTCTGTGAGGACTAGGGCCCCCCAAGTAGGACGGCAGGGGTGGGAGGAGGAGAGAACAAGGGAAGTGACCAGAGCAAGGAGAGGGGGAGGATGCTGGCAGTGGAGGGCTGTGGGGGGTGGAGGTGGAGAAGACATGCTCCGGGAGTGGTGGGAGAGAAGCTCTGGAATGTGGATTGAGAATCCACAGGGACAACTTGCCTTTGAAAGGCAGCCATTCTGGCAGGAGGCTGGCAGCTGAAGATGCAAGATAGAAACTGATGCCTCTTAGCATTTTAGACTAACTTCCTTCACTCTCTTATCTTCTTAATTTCACAGCAAACAATGGGCTATTGACTAAGCTTTCAGAGCTGTGGGTGTTCTCAGAGGGAGGCTGGCCAGAACACCAGCATCTCTGGCTTTTGCTTGCACTCCATGTACCAGCCACATGCAACCCTGAAGTCTGGCCTACTTACCTGTCTTAAGGTACAGGAAACCTGGGAAGACGATCCTGGGCCCAGGAAGGTTGTGTGTGCACACATGTATCCTGTTTGCGTGAGTGTATTCATGTGCATTTATACATGAATGTGTGGGCATGAAAGTATATATGCTCACATGTGTGTACATAACCAGTGTGTTTGCACGTGTAAAGTATTTGCCTGCCTATGCACGCATGTGTGTATGCTTGTGCATGTGTGAGCGAGTATATGCATGGGAGTGTGCAGTGGGGCTGTGGTAGAGAAGCACAGGATGCACATATACCTGGCCAGTGACATCAGCTCTTGAAGTGTGCTCACCTTTCCTTGGAAGGGCTGTACTCAGGGGGTGCAGGGCCAGAAAGTGAGACGCCTTATCATCCATTTTTTCCTTGGAGGGCAAGATAAAGTTCAGGGTCCTTTTCTTCCCATGTGGCCAAGTGAGGCAAGGAACTCGACCCCAGAGCTCCATGCCTGGTGCCCACACACTTGGTGAAGACACTGACCTCACCGTTCTGGGGTGAGTCACCTTGAAGTCTATACACAAATCATATCATGCTAACAAACACCAGCCAGCACTTTGATTGGAACCTGCTTAGAAATGGTGTCTGGGACCACTTCAGAGAGGGACTTTGGTCTTTGCTGAACTACCCATCCCTTTGCTACAAAAGCAGGAAATCTCAACATGTTTTAAATGTTTTGGGGGCTGGGGTTGTGGCTCAGTGGTAGAGTGCTTGCCTCGAATGTGTGAGACACTGGGTTCAATTCTCAGTACCACATATTAATAAACAAAATAAAGTCCATCGACAACTAAAAAAATAAAATAAAATGTCTTAGAGACCACTGTGGGATGGACGAATCAGATGGAGAACTCCTGCCAAGTTCCTTGAATCTGGCACAGTGCCTGACGCATGTCATGCTGACACCTTCCTCTCGTGGCTTCTCTGTCTCCTAAGATGCCACAGAGTAGAAGTCACCAGTGTGACATGCAGATGATACAGGGGGGTGTGGGGAAGAAGTATTTCACCTTATATTTATTTATTTATTAGTTTTTAGTTGTAGATGGACCTTTTATTTATTTATTTATTTATTTATTTTTATGTGGTGCTAAGGATTGAACCCAGTGCCTCACCCATGCTAGGCAAGTGCTCTACCACTGAGCCCCAGCACCTTCTATTTATTTTTTTTTTTATCTCCTTTTGTCTCTGTGTGGTATATATATTATGGTGTTCATAATGTTAGCACATGCATATATTATCCATAAGTCATCATGAATCTTATATCACATGTATCTATACAATACATATCTCTATATGTTTTACAAAAAAATACCAAGAGTGAGGACATACACATTTGAAAACTCTATAGATGCTGGACACGGTGGCACACGCTTGTAAACCCAGTGGCTTGGGAGGCTGAGATAGGAGGTGTCTAGCCTCGGCAACTGGGAGGTGCTGAGCAACTCAGTGAGACTCTGTCTCTAAATAAAATACAAAATAGGGCTGGGGATGTGGCTCAGTGGTCAGATACCCCTGAGTTCAATCCCTGGTACCAACAAAACAACAAAAAACCTGCTATAGAATGAAAAGTGAAGAACTGTGTTCTCTTGTCTGGTTAGGGTAGCTAACCAGGTATCTTATAGACAAAGACAAGAGATAAGTATAAAGCTATATTTGGTTAGAGTTCTCCAGAGGAACAGAACCATTAGGAGACATATCTCTATAGCTATCCATCTATCTATCTCATAATATAATATAATAATAAATGTTGATTTATATACAAGATTTACTATAGGAGTTGACTCATGTGATTATGGAGGCTGAGAAGCCCCATCATCTGCCATTTGAAGGCCTCAGATTGGGGGTGAAGGGTGGGAGGGGCTCTGGTGTAAAACCTAAGTCTGAAGGCCCAAGAACCAGGATCTGTAATGCTGGTCCCTCAGTGGATTAGATGGAGTCTGCCCATGTAGGTGAGTAGA